GGGGGGTGGGGCAAGCAGCGCGCGGGTACATTTGCAGAATGAGCTGATTGCGTTGTCGGGATGTTCGTGTCTGCGCGCCATCGCCTCCCCCGGCGTGGGGGGTTTGATTTGTTATCGCAGCATGACCGTTGCTTTTTGCTGGCAGAATAAACGCTTTATTCATGCAGATCTAAGCTTTAGCTGGGGGAAGGCAGCTTTTTTTGAAACGTCCAGTGTTACCTAAGCAAAGAGGAGAAATTTTAAATCCCCATCTGCACTGCTGCAACCCCTTAAGAGACTCGAAAAGACTGTAAAAAAGCAGTAGTTCCTCTGTGGAAGCGCCTGGCCTGCCTGCAAGAGAGAAAATGGCATAGGTCAGGAGAGGGCTGTTAACGGCCTGCCAGGCGATGCCGAGCAGATCTAGAACTAGACCCACATACGTTTGCTAAGGACAGAAGTGTGGGTTTTGCAGCATAGCTGTGTTTTGAGGTGCACCACCGAAACACGGGTTGCTGGAACCATCCAGCCTCTGGAACGTGCAGGCAGAGCTGCTCTTCAGCAGCACACAATTTTGCCCTGCAACAGCGCCTGCTTTCCTTCACACTGGCCTACGAGAGCCTGTGGTCAAAGACAGGCTCGGGCCAAGTATTATTCAACCCAGTCCATCCCTCCCTTTGAGGACAGATGTCCCCTGAACTGTACAATTCAAATTCTTACTTTACTCCTTTACTCAGGATTGTGCTCCTATTAGCAACTAAGCAAATACACCAAATGTACCAATCTGTACCATCCTCCAGGGCAGTTCAAGAGAGCGTGGTTTGGCTCAGGGAACTCCAACAGCAGTTGTTGGACAAATGTTTCCCATATCCCCTCCTGCTCATGAACAATGTGTCCTCATGCCAGTAAGACCATGGAGCTGCAGCTTTTGTTACATTTGTTAAGAGAAGTTGACAGTTATAAACAGACTTACTATAATAAATTTACTCCTCTAAAAGTGGACGTGTTTTTAAAAATAATACTGTGCTCTCCAAAATGCGTACGGGCAGGACTAGCTACTGATGGCTGTAACAGTTGCTTCTGGAAAAGAAATGTCTTTTCTTCATTCTCAGTTATAGCTGTTTGAGAGTGCCTTAGAGGAACTTCAGTTTTCCAGTTTGTTAAGGCTTGTTATCTCAATTCCTTACTTTTCTACACCTAGTGACTAAGCAGGTTTTTGTGATACTCTTCACCTAAACAACCTCCCATGGTAAAAACTTACATGAACTTGTCTACTCTATTGTTTGTTCTTTGGCTGTTAGTAACCTTCAAAAAGATTATTCTTTCCAGTTGTTTCTTCTTTTTTTTTTTTCCCCCATCCCATCTTTCTTTATGAGCTGTTGAGTCACCTATCTGTAATAATCACCTTAAAACCTCTATTTTTTGCTTTGGCTTATATGACTGACTTCATCTACAAAGCATTTTGTGATATTCACTATGAAAAACGTTGGATGAAGGGCGATGTTTCACTGGCAGGCAATGACAATGCAGAGAAAGTAAAGCAACTGCAAACTTTCTGCCCCATGCATCGCTTGTTTTGATTTCTGTATGTCAAGAGACAAGTTCAGAGCTAGTAAAATGGTATTGCAAGAAACTGTCTTTCAGCAATAGGGAGGCAGTGACAGAAACTATTCAGAGTAAGGAATTTCAAATCAAGTGGCAACACTTTAACTGGATATTTATTTACCAGGCAGGGCAGATGGCATCAGCAGTTCCCCCTGTTTTCTACTGGTCCCATTTGTTAGAGTTATTCCTCCGAACCATGGTATGAATGAAAAGACGACTGGGAGCTCTGGTACGTGCTATAAAAGCTGTGTGACTCCATTACGCTTATGTGGAACATAGTGTAGAATCAGAGTGAAGCAAAAGAAAAAAAAGGAGTTGAAGAGTAGGCAGAAAGGAAGAAGGAAGGAAAGCTGTATCCTAGATTATTTCTTTGGGAGATAAGAAGAGAGTAAACTTATAACATGGAATGATGCTGCTAGGTCATCCCAGATGGCAGGAATGTGCAACAGGATTTGCTAAGATGAAGGAAGAAAGTCTCTTGGGTGTGTTACCAAATTCCAGGGTTTTTTTTTTCCTGTTTAGACCCACTGGGAGATGGGACACAATCACTGAGAGAGGCAATGGCAGTCTCAAAACAGCAGATTGTGGCCTAAGAAAATCCTGGGCTGCTAAGTCAGTCTGGGACATCCTGACAGCTTTCAGGGGACAATTAAAAAAAAAAAAAAAGAAAAGCAACAAGAAAATCCAGGATTCTGGAACTCAGGTTACCCCAAAGCATCCAGAACCTCTGTAAGTAGCATCATCCATGTTTCAAAAGGCAGCAAACTTACGCTCATCTCCTGTTTCTACCTCAATCTAAATTCACAAGTGTTAGCCTGCAAAATTACTTAAATTTCCTCACAACAGGAGGGATTCTCATCAGCACGTAAGCACAGGCAGCCACCATTAGCCAGGTTATCAGCCACCCAGAACAAATGCGCTGTGCAAGACTTTGCAGCATCTGAGAAATTGTCTATTGCAACCACACAGCAGCTCAACAGGTTTTCTCCAAAAATCTCCTAATGGCTAGTGTTCTGAGTATGCTGCTGTTGTGGTTTAACCTCAGTTGGCAACTAAGCACCACGCAGCCGCTCGCTCACTTCCCCCGCCCCCCAGTGGGATGGGGGAGAGAATTGGAAAAGCACAAGTGAAAGACTCATGGGTTGAGATAAAAACAGTTTAATAATTGAAATAAAATGATAATAATAATAATAATATGATAATAATAATACACAAAGCAAGTGATGCACAATGCAGTTGCTCACCACCCGCCGACCGATGCCCAGCCAGTCCCCGAGCAGCGGCCCCCCCGGCCAGCTTTCCCCAGTTTATGTACTGAGCATGACGTCACATGGTATGGAATGTCCCTTTGGCCAGTTTGGCTGTGCCCCCTCCCAGCTTCTTGAGCACCTGCAGCCTTCTCAGTTGGTAGAGCATGGAAAACTAGAAAGTCCTTGGCTAGTGTAAGCATTACCTGGCAACAACTAAAACATCGGTGCCTTATCAATTTTGTTCCCATCCTAAATCCAAAACACAGCACTGTACCAGCTACTAGGAAGGAAATTAACTCTATCCCTGCCAAAACCAGGACAGCTGCATGGTCTGTCGGCAATAAACCTTCACAAGCAAAGTCCTGGCAAGTCCAAGATACCAGAATAAATTTACAGTCTCAGGTATTG